ACTATGAGGCACTTATCAAACTTATTTGGGTATGGATCCCATTTTAGAAATGTTTAACTTTGTAAATTTTGCCAATTAAATCACCAGAGTATCTCTCAAGAAAAGGTAAAGTTTTGTAAATTCCAAAATCACTGACGAAGAAATTAAAATTCAATTTTAAATATAGGAATGATGGTATTAATCATGAAACATTATTCGCAACATGAAAGCATTAAAAATGGTTATTTGTATGTGACATGGTACTAGAAAAAACACAAAGTTACTTTAAAAGGAAAAAAATCAATCCGTGTCTTCTCAGTCCCAATTTCCAGAGGGATAAAACCAGTACACAGATAAAACATCATGTGAACAAGTAAGTAGAAACTGTATAGGAAGCAATAGCTGAAGGGTATTTGTAAGCAGCAGGCTAAGTGCATAACATACGATATTAAAAAGAAGGGGGAAAACACAGCATCATGCTCCATAACCAGTATAACAGTGAGATTTCAAAATCAGCTTAAAGCAGTGCTACGGTGATGTCGCTGCACTCTAGCCTGGGCAACAGAATGAGACCCTGTCTCAGAAACAAACAAACAAAAAATCAGCTTAAGTGGTCTAGTAAGTTGAGCAGGAGAGAAAAATTCAGAGGAAGAAATAAACAATAAGACCAAAAGGATGCTAAGTAGTTGAGTTCAAAAAGTCAAAGAATACAGTTGAAAAGCAAACTCCATAGACAAAGGAAATGAGACAGTTTGTGGTAGCCCAGTGAAAACATTTCAGATAGAGTCAGGTTCTTAGAACTAATCTATGGATCCAGGGGGTAACCATGACCTCCCAGTGCACCCTCAGGAAGGCAGATGCTTGGTCAAAATATTGAGCCAAGAAACCACCATGACAATGGCATTCAGAATAGAAAGGTAGGTTGTGCTAGAGAATTCCTGAGAAAGAGGTTGTAACAGTTTAGGTAAGAGACCTATATTAAGAAATGACCATATTCTAAAACACAAATAAAGATCAGAGCTATGAACAAAGTTACAGTGTCTATTCAGAAAGTACAGAATTTTGTAGTAGCTTAGAAACACACAGTTAGGGAGACTGCCGAGCTAAAATTTACCAAATGAATTCTCTGAACGTCAATGACACTGCAACTTTAATTATATATGAATTACAGAATAAAGTATATACTAGTTTACCTCATAGAATGACTAGAAAGATCCTCCAAAGTGCTATCCGTGTCAAGAGTCTGCTCATAATCCTTAACAGAAATTTTGCTACTGGTACCAGATTTCCTTCCTTGATGGGAGCCACGTTCTGAGACAAACTGTACTTTTTCCTCATCAAGAAGTGAGTTCTGAACATTTCCAGTGAATGAATCCAACCCTGTAAAGTAAATTTATTTTAAAGCTGATTCCCAATATTAGAATCGGAAAGAGATAACTGATACACAGATTTTAATAAAATAATAAAAAGGTACAAACCAGAATATTTTGAAATTGACTATAATGTAACATAGAAAAGCATAACGGGTGCGAAATGGAAGAACTGAGCAAGATCAGCATTTCCCAAACTGTGTTCAGCTTCATTTCAGTGCCATAAAACGCTGAAAGATTCCGCAGTCAAATAAGTTTGGGAATGCTTCATACTATACAGCCTCATTCTTATACTGAAATAAATAGTGCATATTAGCATATTAAAACTGTTGATAAGTCCTATAGGAAAGAAGCCTGTTTTTACCCTAAAAGCATTTTCCAAATTTATGGAACCATGACCTCTTTTATTATCAGAACACCTATGAAAAAGCCTATCCCACTGAATCCGTACGTCACAAGAAAAGGCAGACTTTGGGAAATGCTGGTAAAATAACGTCTAAATGTCCTACCAAAGACATTCAAAACACTTCCAGTCTGCAAGTGGAAGTGTTCTGAGGTATAACCTAGAGTTATACCAGGCTAATGATTACAAAATAATTTCTCCTAGCACTTTCATTGGAAGTATAAACTAGCACTAGCTTTCTGAAATGCTATTTGGCAAAATGTATCCAAATTTTAAACATGGCATACTATCTGCCCCATTATCTCACCTCTAGGACTTTCCCCTACCAGAAAAAAACAGATAAATGCGTAAAGATGTATTTACAAGGATACTGAATGCAATAGTATTTATAATGGAAAAAAGAAAAGAGATAACCTATATATCTAGCAATGTAGAATTACCTAATTACAGTATATTCAAATAATAGAACAGTAGGTAGTCCTTACAAACATTAATAGTAATCCATATTTACTGACAGAAAAAGATATCCATATCCTATAGACAGAACAAAATAGCATATAAAGTGTACCCCCATGCACATAAAATTTCCTATTTATGTATGCCTACAAACTGTCTGGAAGGATTCTTACTAAAAATGTTAACATTTCACACCCATTAGGATGTTCTATTATCACACAAAAAAAATAAAAAGTGTGGAGAAATTGAAACCCTTGTACATTGCTGGTGGGAATGAAAAATGGTGTAGCTGCTCTAGAAAACACTATGGCAGTTCCTCAAAAAATTAAACACAGAATTACCATTTAATCCAGCAATTCTATATCTGAGTATGTACACAAAAGAATCAAAAGCAGAGACTCAAACAGATTATTTGTACATTAATGCTCATAGCAACATGAATCACAATAGTTAAAAGGTAGAAACAACAAAAATGCCCATCGGCAGATGAATGGATAAACGAAGTATGGCATATACATAGAACGGAATATTATTCAGCCCTAAAAAGGAATGAAATTCCTAATATATGCTACAACACGGATGAATCCTGAGGACTTTATGCTAAGTGAAATAAGCCAGACACAAAAGGAAAAATACTGTATGATTCCACTTACATGAATTATCTAGAGCAGTCAAATTCATAGAGACAGAAAACAGAACACTGGTTACCAGGGTCTAAGCGGCAGCCCCCAAACTTTTTGGCATCAGGGACCGGTTTCATGGAAGACAATTTTTCCACGGACCAGGGGGAGGGGAGGATGGCAAGTGATGGGGAGCAGCTGTGAATACAGATGAAGCTTTGCTCCCTCGCCCACTGCTCACCTCCTACTGGTGTTGCCTGTTTCTTAATAGGCCATGGACCAGCATCAGTCCGTGGCCCAGGGGTTGGGGACCGTAGGTCTAGGGGACAGAGCAATGGAGTTATTATTTGATGGGTACAGAGTTTCAGTATAGGAACACGAAAAAGTTCTAGAGATGGAAAGTGGTAATGGTTGTAAAATAATGTGAATGTACTTAATGCCACTGAACTGTACATACAAAAATGGTTAAAATGATAAATTTTGTTATGTATATTTTACCACAATTAAACTAGAGTATATTTTTAAATATTAACATTGGTTATCTCTAAGTGAAGGGATTAAAGGTAATTTATTTTTAAATATAGTTTTCTATAGGACTAATTTCTTCCCCCGCCCCCTGTCCCCCTCCTCCTTTTTAATTCAATTAATGAGCAGGGTTTATCTTTATAATTAGAAAAAACTATTTTGGAAGGAAAATCATTCCCTAGCTAGAAGCTATCCTGTGAGCTTAAGAAGCCTTTGCCTAATCATTGTATCGCCTCACCTGTAGGCCCACAGAGCAGACTACAGCCAAGAGCAGAACTGCAGACACTGAACAGTATCTCAATCACTCAAAAATACTTATTGAGTGCCAACAGGCCGGCTGCTTACCAGGTACTAGAATGTACACATTAAGTCTGTTAACTTCGCATAAGCTTGAAAATTACCATCTGAAGCATCTATTATCTCCATTTTATAGATAAGAAAATTTGAGTATTTAATGATGATCAGAGATGTGTATGACATAGTATTATTTTAAAAAGCAACTGCAAAGCAAATATTGTTTGTAAATTTTTTTGGTTTTTTTTTTTGAGACAGGGTCTCGCTCTGTTACCCAGCTAGAGTACAGTGGCATAATCAGAGCTCACTGCAATCTCAAACTCCAGGGCTCAAGTGATCCTCCTGCCTCAGTCTCCTGAGTAGCTGGGACTATAGGCATGCCCCACCACACCTGGCTAATTTTTCTACTTTTTGTAGAGATGGGTCTCGCTCTTGTTCAGGCTGGTCTTGAAATCCTGACCTCAAGTGATCCTCCTGCCTCAGCCTCCCAAAATGCTAGGATTATAGGCGTGAGCCACCATGCATGGTCTCCATTTGTTTTTTCAATAGAGGTGTGTGTGTGGTTTTATGTATACATTGGAAAAACAGGCATGAAAATGTTAATAGTAGCTATTTCTGAGCAGAAGGATCAAGGGGGATTTGTGTTTCTTCAATGAGTACTTATCTGTAATTCCTAATTTATCCTCATTACAGATGTATTCCTTTTGTATTAAAAGATTTATAATGTTATTTATCAAAAGGTATTATTATAACAAGTAAATATTAAAGCTAATTATATTATTATCATAAAGAAATTCCTCTTCCTTTTTTATGTTGTTTAGAGACAAGGTCTCGCTCTCTCACCCACGCTGGAATACAGTGGCACAGTCATAGCTCACTGTAGCCTGGAACTCATGGGCTCAAGCAATCCTCCCACCACCTCATCTTCCCCAGTAGCTAGGACTACAGATGCATGCCACTACACCTGGCTAATTCTTTTATTTTCTGTAGAGATGGGGGTCTCGCTATGTTGCCCAGGCTGGCCTCAAGTGATCCTCCCACCTCAGGCTCCCAAAGTCCTGGGATTTACAGCCATGAGCCACCGCACCTGGCCTTCGACTTCTTACAGAATCAAATGTTAACTTTAGATCACTAAACAAAATCATTGGTAAGAGAAAAAGTCACCATGTAGAATTCCACTTACATTCTGTCTTTTCCTTTTTCCCTTTCCTTCCTTTGGAAGAACTGGATGAACGAGACGATGCAGCAGAATGGGCTCCCGACGAATGCTGGGAAGTAACATCCGCAGAGGAAA